TATTGTATTTAGAGACAGGGTCTCACTAAGTTGCTTAGTGCCTTGCTAAGTTGCTGAGGCTGGCTTTGAACTTGAGATCCTCCTACCAAGCCACTAGGATTACAGGCGTCTTCCTCTGTGCCTGGCATACCTTTATAATAAGATGAAATACTTCACTCTTGACAGTACTTTAAGCAAAATACAGCTGAAACTTTTTGTATGCATAGAATTACACCTGAACAAGTGTAGGGCTGGGGCTGGGGCTCAGTAGTGGAGTGTTTGCCTGGCACATGTGAGGCACTGGGTTTAATCCTCAGTACCACATAAAAATAAAATAAAAGTATTATGTCGGGGAAAACAAGGGAGAGAATTGAACAGCAGCAGATGAGGTAGAGAGGGAAGATGGGAGGGGAGGGGAGGGGGGATAGTAGGGGATAGGAAAGGTAGCAGAATACAACAGTCACTAATATGCCATTATGTAAAAATGTGAGTGTGTAACCGATGTTATCCTGCAATTTGTATTTGGGGTAAAAATGGGAGTTCATAACCCACTTGAATCAAATGTATGAAAGATGATGTATCATGAGCTTTGTAATGTTTTGAACAACCAATAAAAAAAAGTATTATGTCCATGTTCAACTAAAAAAAAATTCATTAAAGAAAGAATTAGCAGGTGTAATAACTCATAGTAACCTTACTTTTAGTTTAAGACCCAGAAACAAGGAATATTACCATTTTTTAAAATTTACCAATGTATAAAAACACATTTAACAAAACCAAATATGTTACCTTATAAATTTAAAATGTAGGCTGGGGATGTGGCTCAAGTGGTAGCCCACTTGCCTGGCAAACAAAGATACATACAAACAAAGATGTTGTGTCTGCCGAAAACCAAAAATAAAATATTAAAATTCTCTCTCTCTCTCTTAAAAAAATTCTCTCTCTCTCTCTCTCCCTCTCTCTTTAAAAAAATAAAATTAAATTAAAATGCAAAAGAACTTGAATTTATACTTAATCGATGTTTTAGTATTTTAACTTTGCAAATTAATCAGACATCTCCTCTAACCAACACATTTAGAAATGTTTATTCATTATGTTAAATCTAATTTATCCATGTTTAACTTAAGTTATTTCTATAATAACACTAAAATATCTTCCCATGAAAACCAAGGTATCAGACAAGTCTAATTAACACTTCAAATTAGTTGTTTCTGCCAAAGGAAAAATCCTTAAAAGCCATGGACATTGCACTTTAAACATTGTATAGAAACTAATGTTTTCTTTGTTTTTAATTTTTAGTTGTAGATGACACAATATCTTTATTTTATTTATTTATTTTTATGTGGTGCTGAGGATTGAACCCAGTGTCTTACCTGTGCGAGGCAAGTGCTCTACTACAAAAAAATAAAAATTAAAAGAAAAAAAAAMCMARKWRGKTKKWAWTTYMAA